CAGTGTGCTTGACGTCATTACCCTGTTAAAAAATGAAGTCGTTTCCAATATCCAAATTTTAGGCGGATAATTTAAAATGTATCTTTAAAATATTTAAATAGAGCTCATGATTCACAATATGAACAAAAAATACCAAATTACGTAATTCTGAGGCCAATTTACACCCCCACGCCAGAACACCTTTACTTCAATGCTGAAACATAGAGGAGGAGGAATTATTGTTCCCCACAAATTCATGGGATTAAACTCCTCATTTTTTCATTTGCAATATATTTTAGGCCCATCAGAACCAAAAATGTTGACTTATCTGCCATCCCAATCAATTTGCTGTCAATTTTGAAATTTCTGAAACTTAATCCTAAGAATCTAGTTGGATAAATAAAGCGTGGAAGTGTTCCTGCGTGAGGGTGTAAATCGGCCACAGAATTAGGTAATTTGGTATTTTTTGTTGATATTGTAAATCATGAAATCTATTTAAATATTTTAAAGGTAAATTATCCGCCCAAAATTTGGATATTAAAAACGACTTCATTTTTTAGCAGGGTAATGACACCAAGCACACTGCTCTCAATGTACGCACCTGGTGTCTCTATAAATGTCCCCAAATTATGAAAAATCTGTTGTTCAATAAATAATCTTTAAAAAACAAAGAAAAGTAATTTTAAAAGCAATCTGTCAAATCCTCGGTAAATGATAGGTATAAAGATAAAACTCATTGATACCCATCTTTCAACATCGTGGTAATTGTTAAAATTTTAACTATATAAAATTTACATATATTTTCCTATCAATTAAAAAAAGGTTCATATTTGAAAAATATTCATGCAAATCACCAAAATCAACCGAATAAAATAATGTAGCTTAGTCTGAATTAATAACATTTATATCGTCTCTTGGAAGAATTATTACAGTTAACTTAGCGCTCTACATTATACATCATTGTCACAATATTAACTTATCATATTATTTATTTCATAAAAACTACTGTAACAAGTACACAATCATACAACAAATAAATTCTAAGGTAAAGTTCGAATTATAGCTGTATTATTTTTCTAAAATTCTATTTTTAATGGAAACAGTTAAAAGTTAAATATTGTAGCAAACGATTTATTCACACAAACGAATTTGATTTTAAAATGCATTTTAACTTCAGAGCCATTTATAAAAATATAAAAGTTATCTGCCAAAAGGTATTTGAATTTAATTTTATTCCAGAAAATTCACTTACATTCAGTAATTTTGATGGTACTTGTTTAATTTAAATACAAAACTATTGAAGAATTTAACTTGGTCTTTTACACCTGTATAACAAAGAGAAATTTTCACACGAAATTAATTATCCTCAGATAACATCAATATACAATTTTCGTAACAGTAAAAATTTTACAGCTTTGCAACAGGTTTATGGTAATTTAACGAATTTTATTATCGTTACTAGCTGTATGGCCCGGCGTTGCACGGGTTTTCTGTACTTATATAAGTAAAAGCTACAGTAAAATATACTTTTTCGAAATTTCTTTGTGTTGCAGTTTTAAGAAATATTGCGTATTTTTCAGAATAAAAAAATACTAATACTTATATATGTGTATTGATAAAATAAAAGTAAAACATGACAAACGAAATTGATAAAAGTGTCTATTTTATTTTTCTTAACATTTAAAACAACCTTTTTTTAAAAAAAAAAATTAAAGATCATCAGTTTTATTGCATTTTTCAAAAATAATATATGGTTAATTATGTTATGTTCATTATTTTACATATGTGCGTAACATGTATTTTACATTCAAAAGATATTTTTATAAGTGGTACGTAAATGAAAATATTTAATATAAAATTATATTATGTTCACAATAAAACAATGGAAAAATATTTTGAAATTAAAATTACTTTTGAAACCTTAGAGAATATTTGAAGTATCATAAAAGGGATAAAAAATAATAATGGCAATTAATAAGGAAGCATAATATATAGACATTGCTTTTATTTTTTTTAAACTTGTAGTGGGTGATATTTCATGTTAATATATAGTTTTTTTTAAATTTAAATTAATTTATTAAATTAACTAATACGATATCAAAAATAATAGTCCAACAGCATGTTAAAAAATAATCAATGCAAAATGAATAAAAATAACAATACTGATTAAAATAACCAGTTAAAAAAAAGCTGAAATACAAATTATGATAATATTAATTCAAATAATAGTAAAATAAGTAATTTTATACAACTTGAAGAAGGACCTGTTGTTTGTCAAGAAAAGACAAAATTTCAAAAGAAATAAACAGTTAAAAAAAGCTGAAATAGTAATTCTTATTATATTAAAATGATAGTTAAATAAAGAATTTTCTAATAACGCAATGTGATGTTAATTTATAAATTCTAATAATGTTAAAAAATAATTAATGCAAAATGAATAAAAATAACAATACTGATTAAAATAACCAATTAAAAAAACTGAAAAAAAATACAAATTATAATAATAATTAAAATAATAGTAAAATAAGCAATTTTATATAACTTGAAGAAGGCCACGTTGTTTGTCAAGAAAAGACAAAATTTCAAAAAGAGCGGAAATAAAATGTAAAGTGTGGCCACAGCTACAATTACAAGTAATTAATTGCTAAGCAACTAGGCATTAAATACAATAACATAATGCTGAATTTTTTCAGCCGCTGGAAACGGAAAGGTACATTTTTTAAAAGAATAGTCTATGTATGAAAATGAATAGAAAAATAGAAATTTTCAAAGTTACGAAAGTCATAAATATTTTAAAGGAATCCGCTTCAACTTCACAAATAATCTCTCTCTCTCTCGATTTGAGCCTTAACTATCGATAGGTCACTTCACATATGTACCAGCTCCACTTCCCATTCGTAAACTGAAACCTCGAAAAGAGTGACATGGTGCGCACGCGCAAAATTTTCAGCCATCCTATTAAGTAAAATCCAGTTTTTTATTAAAGTTTCTATTTGTTTGAAGGCTTAATTTTTAAGTTCATGCGCTTTCAATCTTTACACACCGATTGCAAACAAAATGGAAATTTTTAAACGAAAAATGTAACAAAAATAATGCTTAAATATTTCTCACAAAAGAAAAAAAATGAAAAACACAATTTTTTTTAAAAAAAACCATAATTTTTAAGGATTTTTTTCAATATTTTTACAGATTACGGATAATATCGTTCTACACAGGAAAAAGAAGTTCGTGAGTTTATTTTTTTAATAACGAAGTTATTAAGTATTTAAATAAAATTTTAAGTATTTTCTGAAAAATCGCAGAAAAAGTTTTTGACACTTTATTTTTTAAATGACTGATTCTAAAAGAGAAACGCATGAACTTTTTTAGTGTAGAATATCATTTCATCAACGCGAGAAAAAAATTCAAACGGAATAATTTAAAAATTATTTTCATAAAAACGTATCGAATTTGACTTATTTTAGGAAAAACTCGTAAAAATGGAAAATATTATTTTGTAAAAAATAATTTATACCATATCGTGACGAAAAAATTGATCTTTTTAATTTTGCAGTTATTTTTTTCTCATAGAAAAAAAAATAAATCATGTTTTAAAAACGTAGGGACAAAAAAAATTTCACCTTTCAAATTTTGATTCTGTTTGGCAGAAGAAACAACATGCAGGAGTAAAACAAAGGTTTTTAATTAATATATTTTTAACTAATTGCAATATCAGAATTTAAATGATCAAAATAGATTCCTCGGATCATCCCCGATCATTTGGCTCCTTCGGCGAGCTTCTGCGTCGTGCGGTTTGAGAGAAAATAGATGTACATACGTTTGTTTACCTACGAATTTTAATAGTGTAGATTAATTTAACAGTTATCCTATTTAACTGATGTTTTTTCCGTTGTTAGACCATAGCGTAACCTCAAATGTAAGCTGTCAGATTCAAGTTTAAATTTAAGTTATAAAAGGTTTACGATTTAATTTTGATTGAGAATTTTAGTAAAACGTAATGAAGAATTTAAACATGTATTTGATCCGGTAAAAAATAAAGAATCTAATACTTTTTATGCTTTTTTGCGAGAAAAGAAGAAACATGCACGACAAACTTCAACATTTTTTTTAATTCTACTGCCAATTTAAGCTAATACATACAACTAATGAAATACTTCAAAATGATAACATATGAAAAGATAATTCAAGATGTGGATACCAATAATTGAAAAAATTTCTGCTGGTAATTGAACAAAAATATTAGAGAAATTAGTGAACAGTTTAAATGAGATAATTCCTACATTTTTCAACAATGTGTGCAAATGTTTCTTTGTAACTGCAATATTTTTCCCTAAATGGGAGCAACATTCGAATAATATAATACCTAAAAGAAAGTGTAATACTTTAAAATTTTGTATCTATTTTTTTCTTCTGATCAGGCTTCTACATTGCTAAAATTTTCTCATGACATTCAATTATTTGATTTTACAAAAAATATATTCCTTGTTATAGCCCTTGTTAAGAAGCATGCAGACGAAAAACAAAGTCCATTTGTGTAGTCACTACGCCTCAATACACTAATTCCCTCAATTTGTACCATAGGAAAAAAATCTGACAGTGTGGAAATATGGATATAGTGATGGCAATAGAAACAGACGACGTGTCCGATCCAACGACAAGAGTATGCCATATCCTGCCAATAATGAACAGGAGCACAGAAATGCCCTGGGGGCACATCTTGATCCATCATGCATCATCCTTCATTCATCATCATTTACCTTATTTTTCAACTATTACTATTATTTCACACTCTCCCTATATATATATATATATCTTGTTCAAATATTCAGTCATTAATAGAAAACTTTCCATTCATTCATTCAACTTCAAATACATTTTTTTCAAATGGTAGTGGATGACACTTGATGTTAATATAGCTTTATCAAATATTAATTCATTAATTTTAATTAATTAATTAATTAATATTAACAAACAGAAATAATAGCCCAACACTGTATATAAAAAGGAAAATCGCTCGTTGTGTCCCTGTAGCGCATTGGATAGCGCAGTGGACTTCTAATTCAAAATTCGTGGGTTCGAATACCACCGGAGATGGCCTAATTTCTGAGAATGCGATTTCTTTTTACCATGCTATTTTATTGCAATAATAAAATTTAATTAATGAACTGAAAAAAATAAGTTCAACACCATATATGGAAAGAGGAAAAAGAATCATTTCAAGGAAATTCGCTTTCTATTTTGCCACAATATTCTGATTCTGCCATATGTATATATACATATGTATATTAATTGTAATTATTTAATAAAAGTAACTGAAATGAAATTATCTTTTGTTGACCTAAGTAGGAATTGATTTTTAAAATTTTTTTTATATTAGTTGTTTCTAATAAACTGTGGATTGTACAGATACAGTTCTTATGGCAATTTTTATGTACTCTTAACAAAGAATCTATCTAAACAGTGTTGAGCGATATTTTTGGGACACCCTGTATTTTCACTGAGATATCGTGCACCATACGATACTTTTTTTTTTAAATTTTAGATATAAGGGATTTTTTGTGATTTTAGATTTATTTAGCAAATTATTTGACTACAAATACAGTGGGTGATCTGTTAATGAACAGATCGGTTAACGAACACTTTCACGAAAGATTTTTATGTTCGGATAACGAACACTTTCAAGAAAGATTTTTTGTGTTTGGACAACGAACACATATTTGGAGGTGATCAGGGAGACACCCCTTAAATTATGGATAAAATTTTGACAACTGCTAGAGATCTGGAATTGGAGGTGAACGAGGATGACATAGAAGAGCTCATAATAGGACATGAAGATGAACTGACGATAGAAGAACTCCAAGAAATTTTGAATAAAGAACACCAAGAAACACAGCGAAATGTGTCTCCTTTTGAACAAGAGGAAGACGAAAGAGGACCGATGCCGACATCTGCCATTAAATATATTTTGAAAAAGTGGGGGGCTGTCAGAGCAATGGTCTTAGAATGGCACCCAAACCAAGCTGATGTCAGTAGGGTTGGGGATCTTTACAATGACAATGCTATTGATTACTTCCGGAAAATCCTGAAAAAAAGAGGAAACCAATCGACATTGGACATGTTCTTCAACGCCCCATAAGCCAAAAATGAAAAGGACTGATTAATATGCAAGACTATTTGTATGTATTATATTTTTAACGATTACTAAGAAATTATACATTTAAAATTTAATTTTCAGGGTCTCTAGAACAAATTAATCGATTTCACATAGAAGTCTATGGTGAATCGATAATCGGTTAACGAACAATTCGGATATCGAACATAGTCTTGGAATGGATTATGTTCGTTAACCGATCACCCACTGTAAAAGAAATAATAACAAAATTTCTCTAATGTTTTACCGCTTTAAGCAAAAAGTTTATGAACGAATTTGTAATTTCAATTTTTTAACTTTTATATGTGTGTGTGCGTTACACTTCTACTCATTTTTAAAATGACCTATAACGCATTTATACTTTTAAAAAAAGTAGAAAATTTTATTTAATCACTATACGAAATCGCCTGAAAAGTATAATTATATGAATGGTTGCAAATTTTGAAATTATGTATTGATTTCTTTAAGAAATAAGTAAGAGCAATTTTTTATTTTACTTAGAGTATACAAAAAAAGAAATAGTTATTTACTTCATAATTTTGTTTCAACAATTCTTGTCTCTATTTCAAATTTTCCAAAAATACACATTTAAAGTTTAAAAATTTCATACGGAAGATGACATTAGCTCTCTTTAAAACAGTTGCAATATTCGTACTACTAAATGTAAAATAAAACGCTTGGTATTTTTATAAAAACACCATAAAATAACCTATGAAACTAAACTACAAATATGTTTTGTCAATATTATACCAAATCCGCAATTTAAATTAGTACGATATCCTACGAATTAATTAGCATCTTTCAACGCAAAAAGCTTTCCTAAACACACCAGTTTTGTAAATGATTCTTTATAAACACAAGAAAAATAATATATTACTCGGGAAAAAAACATTCCACAATATCAATTTAAATTTAAAGGCTGCTTTCCTTGCTTAATACCGGTTAATCCATGAAGAAAAATTACATATATAATGCCTGTACTTAAAAAAAAACAGCTTAAAGTGTACTTTTGAAATAAATATTTCCTGTTTGTGTCCCTGAAAGACAAAAAAACCTGGAAAAGAAAAGAAAAATTCTAAATGAATCTGAACAAACCACAAACAATGAACAAATGAGTCGTTGAGTCTCTTCTGAGCAATTTGAATTAAATGCTGGTGTTTTATTCATCAGTTAGTCTACAATCGCAACTGTAAGGTACACAGAAATCTACCTTAATTCTGCAGAACAACCGTGCAATAAGAAAAACCATTTATCTTGCTGTAAAAAAGTACATTTAATGAAGAAGGAAAAATATCGAGAGTAATTAATATTGCAGTCCGTTTCTTTATCTTAAGCCGGAGAAAACGAATCCTAACAAAAGAAACCCAGGTGCCATAATTCTTTTCGACATCTTAAGATAGGCTTGGACTTCTTTTGGGCATTTTTTTCTTTCACTGAAAAGTTGCGCTTCCTTCCCGGGGTGATAGGGTGATATAAATTTCATTGGAATAATAAATCAATGTAATCCCTTTTCTTACAGGTAAAATGTTGGTGCAATATCAGTGTCAGTGCTTAAAAGAGGAGCGATTTATTTTCTTCTTTTTTACGTTTTAATCGATTTCGAATTCGTAATGGTTGAAAAAGAGAGTATAAAAGAGTTATCAGCGACGTAAAATTTGTACGGTTGGAAATGTTTTTAAGCATTGTTCTTTGGTTGTAAGAATAATGAGTCTGCTTCGAATAAGTACACTTTCTCTTTTACGAAACAAAAGAATGACGATGTTCAAAAAGATTCTAAATCAGTCTACCCTATTATTTAGTCTTTTTTGGAAGGATAGAAAATAAAAGTGTCTTTTAAATATTTTTTTCTGGTACATAATAAGCGTCCTTTACCTTATATCTTTATTGTCTATGTCATAAGTAAAAACATTTGTAACATATTCCAAATTTAAAAGCAAGTTGAAATTCATATTTTTTGTTATAATAAATAGGGTAGTGGTACCCTCCCCCCCTTCCGCCTAACCACGAATCAGCCCAATTGTACAAATATTACAACTCTTCATAATAATTGCTCAAATTGAAAGACTATAATTTACATGTATTATGTAATTCTAATTATTTTGTGTGTGTATGTGTGAAATTAGTCCTTGACACTCCTCTTCAGTTAAATTCATCACTGACAGTGCATCGTCCAACACTTCATTGGAAAAAGTCTTGAGATTTTGATAGACCTGCAGCACTTGCAGCTTCCTGAAGTGATGAGTATTTAGCTCCCTTGATTGTTAGTAAGACTTCGTATGAGACAACGTCTTTCTTCTCACGCAACAATTCCAGTCCAGAAAATCATTGCGATATTTTTCTGCGAGAGCTTGCAATAATGTACTATTGTGACCGTATTGTCGATATTATAAGAAACAAAGCACATGTTTGCCAATTCAGTGCGTACGACAGATACGAAATCGGAGTTGCCGATTTAGCGAGTTATTTAAAGCGGAGACATTGTTTGCGATAGTAAGTAATAAATTTATTACAGCATCACGAAAACCTTTTTTAATATAAAGAGAAATAAAACTTAACAGTGTAGAATATTTACTAATGCAAAAAAATATTTCATATTTTATATAATGTATCAAGTCTTAAAAATTCATTTAAAAAAATATTCTTGAATTGAATTGAGAAGAAAATGCAAAACCTTCACTTAAAGTATTTCTGAGATTCCGCATGATGCAAAATTCCACAACAGAAAGATATTTAAACGGTGAATATTTCATTCTAGATAAAAAAAAATTAATAAATAGTTTTTTTTAGTAATTTAAAATGTTTCGCTCTACATAAGATATATAAAAATATAGATAATAGACAGTAAACTAATAGCTAACTGAAGGGTTTGATACTGATTTTTAATTTACTTCGAGTTCTAAGATTGGCATGGACGACAAAGACCTCTCCACCACGAGGACTATAGGTAACGGACCTCTTAAATTTGGTTTACGATCAAGGGACGAGGATGACACCTGAGCTAGCACCCTCTATTCCAAACTTCTGCACCTCGCCAACGGGAGAACTTTGAGTCCCCACAAATTTAACATACATTAGCCCCAGTACTCACCAAGAAATTTCGAAAATAAAAGCTCTCAAAAAGGATGGTAAAGGCCATCAATGGACGTTGAAAACTAGTAGGAGGGGACGATAAGGTATTTTAAAAAACAATCGCAAAGTACAGTAATTTGACTACAATTGCTCAACACATGCTTAAAAAACCGACTGCATGTTTATCAACATCATTTTTCAAAACAACATGACAGTTATCGATGACGAACCTCATATTTTCGATCCATAACCAATAGATAAGGACGATATCTTAGCTGGCTTCCTACTCTCCAAATTTCGACGTACGCCAGTCCCCAATTTACGTAATTTCTAAAGCTCAATATGATTTTGCAGAAATATAGTGACTTATTCATGACAAGTCACTTTTCTGTGACTCATTTTCATGGCAAAAATACTATATCTTCAACAAGATCGATGCTGATTAGATTTCAGCTCATTGGAGTTTGTGAATTTAAATAAGATTGAGGAATCCAAAGCGCACATAGAAAAGTAATAAAAATCAAATTAGATTAATTGTTTTGAAAGTAGTTTTTTATGCTGTGAATATTGTGATGAAAGTTGTATTTCATCATTACATCTGAAATTAAGAAGAAATGTCGATTGCAAAGTACTGGATACTTAAAATATATGGTCTTATCCGGACTCCTACGCACCAGATATTACCCTGGGCCGTGGGTAGTATAGTGGTTACAGCACCGGACTCCGTACCGGAAGACATGGGTTCGATGCCCGTACCGAAAAATACCCTCCGAGTACACACGGAGTAGGCGCTCGTTAAATCAGTGGGTCTGAAAGTCTTGTGGGCTGAATAACGAGTGCCGGAAACTGGAGAAAATTTCCCTCCAAGTCAGTT